GATTTGACCAATTTTCACAAAGTGGAACACATATTATAAAAAAGACACAGCATGAAAGCAATCACAAAATTCAGACTGTGGAAATGCTAGACACACAAGGAAAATGATTTGATGTTTTCAACACAAAATTACTAGGAATAAAAGAAGAGTTGGTCAGGGGATCGTGAATTAAAAAAAAATTTTAAGGTAAATTTAAGGAACAATCAGGGAAGTGTGACCCTTGAGTATTAGATGACATTTCTTAGTCTAGATAATTTATACAGATTAGAAGCTGACTTATCTGTGGTAGTTCCTTTCCTGATGAGACGACAAAAATTATTTTTATTCCTTTTTTGTTGAAATAAATTTGACACACAACGTTGTATGTCACTTAATCTCCCCAATAGCCCTAAGAGGCATGTGCCATTGGAGATGAGGAGGCTGAGGGCTTATATATAATAACTCACTCCAATTATAAAGATGTTAAAGGGCAGACCTGGGATTTGCACACACAAGCAGTCTGGCTTCAAGGCCAAGATTTTCACATTATGCTATGTGCCAATGCTTTGTGCTAATTACTTTACAAACATTATATCTAATGTTGCAACATGGTGCATGAAATTATTCCCAACGTACAGATAATCACTCTGAGTTTGTTTCCCTGAAGAGACTTGCTCTAAATTCACATGTGATTCTTAAACCCAGGCCTGTCTGAAGCCTGTGTGTTTTCCACTTGTATTTTCCTTAAGTGAATCAATCAATGCTTTTTTCCTCCAAAACCGAAGAGCTTTTAGAAGCAATAATTAATATGAGTCATGCATTTCCCTTGCTTTGCTAGATGGAGATATGAGAGCTGACCCTTGCTCAGGTCGAGTCTGAAGAGGATTTGGCACAACAGGTGCAGGAAGAGGCAGCGGGTTGCTCTCGTGTTGTCGTTTTTTTTACTGCAGCCCCTAGGGCGGCGGTTCTCAACCTTTCACAGGGGTCGCCTAAGACCATCGGAAAACACATATTTTCAATGGTCTTAGGAACCGAAACACCGCTCCTCTATCCATCTTCAGGCCCACATGCAGATACGCCCACATACGAGTACCCGGTGACCCCTGTGAAAGGGTCGTTCAACCCCCAAAGGGGTCGCGATCCACAGGTTGAGAACCACTGCCCTAGGGAGAAAGCTATTTTTCATCACAACCCAGTAGATATACTCACAGAGACAGACACACATTATATTCACACAGACAAAAGTTTCATAATCTTTAGCCTTACATGTTTTAATAGCATATATTCTATGTTATTCCATCTATTTTATTTGTTTGAAAAACAAGTGCTTGTCAGGGCCAGCCAAATTGATTTCACAATCCCTTAATGGGCTTTGAGCCACAATTTGAAAATCACTGCATTGGAGAATATTCTAGATCTCGTCCAAGGCTCAGATTCAGATTTATCTCAAGATGGCCTCCTTGAAACAGCTTCAAGTATTTAAGTGACTTATTAGAACTTATTTGGTAACCATGGCAATTTCTAAAGCTAGAACCTATGGAATGTATAAAAGACCCACCCAAAACTTGTGTTTTAACCTTGCTTTTCTCTTTTCTTTCTTTAAGTCATTTATTCATTTATTCTTTCTTTTTTACAACCATTTGTAGAGTATACATTTGAGACGGTGTACAGGCCCTGAGGAGTCGAGGATGAGTAAAAGCAAGCATGCATTCTGGTAGCATAGTGGGGATAAAAGCAGTTACTCCGAAAGCACACAGGAAAATATTTTCAAATTATGATCAAGTCTGTGAATCAGAATATGGCACTGTACATAACAGGGAGCCATGATTTAATCTAGAGCGAGAGAAACGATTCAGGGGCTGAGACTGAAAGACGAATAGGAAATAACCAGGCAGTGGACAGCACTGTGAGTGCAGGCGCAGGTCACACCACATCACAAGCTTCTAAAGCTGGAGGGGCGGCATGAGCTGCTAGTTGAGGAATGAAAGGAAAAGATAGTCAAGATAAGCCTGGGAAAGTAAACAGGGCCTGATCATACAGGGTCCTGTAGAGCATGGAAAAAGGTGAAAGGTTTTACAAGGCTGAGTAACATAAGACTCACATTTTACACATATAACTGTGGTGCGTAGACTGGATTGCAGCGGTCCCAGATTATACAGAGGGAGCTATAAATAGCCTATTGTAATGGTCTGGGTCAAAGGTGATGGAGTAGGGTGGGGCAGGGTGGTGGTCTTTTGTTACTTATTTCCCCTCCTACTGGACATACTTTCCAATGCATTTCATATGCACTGCGACCAGACTTGTTAATTGGAGCTGTCTACTAAGCAATCAATAAGCCACAATATAGCGTACCAAAAAAAACAAGTGATGGAAATGCAACCGTGAGTCTAAGTGATAAATGGCCGAGGTACAAAAAGCTCTTACTCTTTTAATTAAAAAAAAATCAGATTATGATATGAACGTGCATATTCTAGTTACCACCAAACTGTGTTATACCCACGTATTTTACTGGGTATAGTTCTGGAAAATAAAGTACTTATCTTCCCTCTGAGAGTCTAAGATCTGAGATAGAGGGTTTCAGATGTGATGTGCTGAAGAAGAAAGATGATTTTTAACAGCCAAACCTACCTCCACAATTAAATCAATTTATATTCATACTGGGCAAGGGGAGCATGTTGCTTCTTGCCTTGCCTTTTCTTTCTTTGATTAGTAATCCCCTGCGTGGTTGAACATTGTTGTTATCTTGCTAGGATGGACACCTTTTCCAACCTGTTCTTTCAATAAAAATAGCTTAACCCAAGTCCCAGTAAAAACGCTTGTTCATTCAGGGTGAGTTTAATAAAACCCTTGTGCCCCCTTAGAATTAGGTGGAGTCATGGGAGAGAGTCCTCTGGGCTGTCACAGGTTTCTGCCCTCCACCTGCCTCCTGTGGGGAGCTGAACTCAGCCACAGCTGCTCTGCATCGTAACCCAGTCTATGTAGGTCGTTTCCATTGGCATCTAGATATGTTTAGAGTCAGCACTCTCTTCTCCCACCCAATCCTCACCCACCACACCATCCCTACCCCATCTGCTGGCCATCCCAAAAGACCTTGCTACATCCCATGAGCAATCATGTTTCGGTTATAATAGCTGAGAGGCGCCTAATGTGCAACAGGTCCCAGGCATGACTACATAGTAATTAGCATCTTGTTGCTTGCCGAAAGCCCTCTAAAACACAATGAATATACTTTGTAGTGGTGCAGTTGGAAGGACTGCGAACCCAATAGTCCAGGTATAGGCACCGTCCCTGACGCCCATTCAACCTATGGCAGAGACGACTGTTACTGCATCAACATGCATATCATTTCCAAAAAGGCAATAATACCAAAGATGCCTTTCTCAGATTTTTACAAAGCACTTCCTGTCTTCTGTCTGAATTCCAAGAGCTTAACTGCTGCCATCTTCTGTGTGACTCAGTCTTAAGTGGTAAACGCTATTTTACTTAGTGAACAAGGAGACATCAAGGACAGTTAGTCTTCATTAGAATGTTACTGCCTCAGATTAAGGCTTCATGGAATTTCTTGTTCTTTTGCTTGGAAGTCCCCTCCCTGTCCTTTAGCACAGTGATCACTATAAAGAAGAAAATGTACCAAGTGCAGTTCTCCTATTACTGATCTACATTTGTTTCCTAAGCAAAGAATTTGTCACTAGGAATTGGTGTGCATCCCTGGCCACTGCTTACAGGCACTTCATTCTTGAATTCAAGTAAAACTCTGAAATGTGATCTCAGTGACATGATATCAAAAGAAACATGTCAAAACAGCGTTGATACGGAGAGCTCTGTTGTGACTAGAAGTCACGTCTCTGCTTGGAGGGAAGCAAAGCAAATCCAAGCAGCAGAAATGCATTTTTTACAGGAGGCTCTTTGCAAGCAGCAGAAGCCACTTCTGCTCTCCTGGGGCGCCTTTCCTCTTCCGGTCCCTCCGCCCCATGCTCCTTCAAGTGTGAAGCCCATGTCTGATCGTTCATTCAGCTTTTGCGATGTCTCCCTGACACCTGCAGACTCTGAATGAGCTCCTCTCATGGGCTCTGCCCTCTGCCTTCCTCTCCAGGCTCAAGCGTCCCTGTTCTATCTGTTGGTCCACCAAACCCAAACTGTTTCCTTTCCACACTCACACTCTGTTCTTTTCCATGTCTATGCTGAACACGTGCTATGTTCTCTCTCAAATCTGACTTTTGGATCTGTAGAACCCTTGAGTTCAACGATTAAACTTCACTGGGCCTTGATTTCCTCATTCGTAAAGTGGGAGCAGAAGAGCAGCATTGTGGGGTGACGCGGGTAACACTGTGTGTACGCTGCTCCAAAGGCTGTCCCAGGGAAGGCGCTCGGCAGAAACATCTAGTATTAGCTTTATTTTTTTACTTATTATTGTCACCATCCTTCAAAATTGAGATCAGGTTTCTGCTGAGAAGCTTTCCCTTACCGCCCCATCCCAAAGACTGAGTGAATTACTTCCTTGTGCTGTGCACTTTTTCTTTATTGCCCCTTTTGTATCTTTTTCTTATCATTAAGGTGATACATGATTTGTCATAATGTTGCCGGGCAATGAAGTTGTTAGCATAGAAAAATGGGCATATTATGGCTCAAGGAGGTCTCGTAATTCGTATTTTATGGACACCTCCTGCAACAACGTGGAGAGGATCTGATCGTTAATAAGTGAATAAATGGGGTTTGCTTCATTTCTCAGGCTGTAGAGCTCTCAGGTAACAGTTAATGAGTACTTGCTATATGCTGGGCATGACTTAGGTATTATACTTTATTCTTTACTCAAATGTGGTAGATATCCTTACCATTCCCACCTTATACATGTGGAAACTGAGGGCTATAGGGTCGTAGAGCTAGTGATAGACTATCTACTCCCAAAGCTTGACGTCTCAGCTCACCAAGTCTTTGTTGTGGTCTGTAGGGTATCCTTTGCCTCTAGGACTCTCTGGTGTGTGAATGAATTATATACATGTCCATGTCTAATTGTGTTCCAGGTACTCATTCCAAGATGAGGAAGACATGTTCATGGTGGTGGACCTCCTGCTGGGCGGGGACCTGCGTTATCACCTGCAACAAAACGTCCGCTTCCAGGAAGACACTGTGAAGCTCTTCATCTGTGAGCTGGCCATGGCCCTGGACTACCTGCAGAGCCAGCGCATCATTCACAGGTCGGTCAAGTCCAAGGGCACAGCCTTGGATTGAGTGCACAGGACAGAATTCACAGCCTGCTGCTTTCAACAGGTCCTTGTTGAACATAATATTTAATCCTCACCTAGTTCTCACAACAGCCCCTTAAGGGAAGATTATTGTCCTTATTTTGCAGATAAAAAAACAAAAAACAAAAAACTAAGCACACTGTACCCAAGATTACAATTAGTTAAGAACAAGACCATAATCAATGAAGATTGGTGCTATCTTATCACTAAGCCTAAAGAGGAGAAAAGGTGACATATAGGAACTTAATGAATATTAAATGAATTAATTCAACTAGAAATGAAGGATGTTGATAAAGGGAAAAAAATGGAGTGGTAAGGATGAAAACTGGGAGAAAGCTTGAGTCCTAACACCTGCCTGTCATCCCCCTATATCAAGTTCCTGCTGTGTGTGCTACAGATACAAGTCAGCAAAAGCAACATGGCTCCTTCACTTGGAGCATGTGTGTTAGATACAGACAGGCAAATACAGTTGAGCTTTGAACAATGTGGGAATTAGGAGCATTGATCTCTCTCCCACTCAGTTGAAAATCCACATATAACTTTTGACTCCCCAGAAACAACTACAATTGCTCCTCGGTATCTTCAGGGGATGGTCCCAGGACCCGCGCAGATACTAAAATCCATGGGTTCGCAAATCTCTTATATAAAACGGCACAGAACAATTCATAGAGTCAGCTCTCTACATCCAGGATCCCCAACCATGGATCGAAAATACTGTTTGCAAAACATGGTTGATTGAATCTGCAAATGCCAAACCCAGAGATGCTGAAGGCTGACTGTGTGTTGACTGAGAAAAATCCATGTATTAAGTGGACCTGCACAGTTGTTTAAGGGTCACCTATAACACAAGTAGCTATAAACCCAAACAGACAATAGAGAGGAAAAGATCATATGCTACATTTGTAAAGAAGCTGGTAGCTTTAATGATGATTTCCTACAGGGTATCTCACTTGGTCTTTGAGATAAGTGAACAGAGCAGATGTAGCTAGACCAATATTAAATATGAAAAAACTATGACTAGGATACATTGAATTATCATCCAGGTTATTTATAAGAATTTTGAACCTAATAACCATCAAATCAACTACTATTTACTGATGACTTATTACATGCCAGATGCTGCTAAGTACTTTCATGTTATTAAATTCTCAAAACCCAAAACTCCCCATTTCACTATAGTATCTCCTATCACTATACAAATGAGAAATCTGTGGCTCAAAGATTTGCCAAGGGCAGCTCACAAATGGCGTTGCCAGGATTTAAGCCTAGTTATCGCTGATCCTAGAGTCAGAGTTCCGTCTACTGCCCCAACTTGCATTGGGACATGTGAAATATATACATTAATGATACATCATTAAATGAAAAATCAACATATGTGACTGCCGCTGTCATCTCTAATCCTCAAAGAATTTGCTGAGTTTTTAAGTACAATTATGTCTCATTTAGTAAAAATTTGGCTAGATAAAATGTTTGCCTGCCACTGGTTGACATTTATGTGGAATTTATCTGGATTACTGCAGAGCCTGTGGAAGATGATATAGCATCATAATTTATAGATTCTCTATGCAGGCAACATGGACCAATCTCTCTCTCTCTCTCTCTGTCTCTCTCTCTCTCTCTCTGGCCTTGGCTCTGTACACTTACAAAGCTATTATTTAATTTCCTGTCTTTGGAAAGGCATGTTTGTATTGGAAATGTGCTCTTCAGGCAACAGATAAATGGAAAGTACTCGGAGATCAGTGAATCATGATGCAGCATCTCAGAAGTAAATTTACACACCTGGTGTTTTGTCAATAACTAGAAATCCTGTTCACAAACATCCTTTCCCTCACACTGGCTCCCATACTGGTTTCTGGTCTCCCACGGTCCTTTCTGAGGAGAACTTTTCATAAGTGTAGCCTACAGAGTCCCTCTCAGAGCCGAACTGCCACCCCGCAGTCTGTCTTGGTTGCTGACATATTAGAGCTCAGAAAGGAGACAGGAACCATGGGAAATCGGCACTGCCTTTTAACCTTGTTGCTCTGTTCGAATCTGGGTTCTGTGTCTTCTGTCTCTGGGCTTCACTTGCCCTGTCGTCACAAGTCAAGATGCTCTGAGCATTTTTATGGTGTGCTTAGAACTGTGTTCCAAAAGTAGTTCAGGAGGAAAAACAAAAGAAAACAAAACAGGAAACCTGATACAATCAGTACCCTCAAGGAGCTTACTAATACCAAATATTGTTCTGTCCTTCTCTCCCTCACTCTTCATAGCTCCTGTCATCATATTGTCACTTTAATAAGCCAAGGATTAACTTTCTGTCCCTTGCCCTTTATATGCCCACAATTGTGACTTCGTGCCTGTCTTCCGAAGGGCCTCTTTATTCTGAAGTGTCCCCTCACCGTGACAAATGACTGGAAGGCAAACTCAGTGACGTTTTGAACACTGTGTTAAAATGACATCCTCTTCGGACCAAAAAACAGTTCAGGTTTATTTCTGTTGCCTACAAGTCCATCCCCTTGCCCATGTGCTGTATTCTGTAGGCAGTCGTGGCATCTTGTACCTTTTCTGATAAGTTGTGACATTTTTGGTGTGTACCTCCTTAATGTTGCTCTTCTCTACTGAATTGTAAACTCCATGAGTTAGGGCCATGTGTATTTTTGCTTTTTAACAAATAGTCAGTGTGCAGCAAAAATGTGAAGGAATGAATACTGCCTGAACCACATGAATGGCTGATTGACTAGAAGCCTGCGCTTGCAAATAACAAAGACAAGATTAAAATATAGGGCATTAAAGCCCAAAATGTTAGACCTACGCATTGGGTAACCATATAATTCATCATCCAAACCAGCATGCTCCTGAGAATAAAGGAGTTGCTGTTAGTAATTATGCTGGGACAATAGGCAAACCTCAAAAATGTTCTGGGGAAATCAGGATGTATATCAACATGACTAACGCGTTCCAAGACAGTGGCGTCCAAATACACAGTTTAATTGCGAGAGAGCTCTAATACCCAGATTTCTGCTCTCAGAGCACCAGACAGCAATTTCAAGTGGTGTCAATGTGAACTGGTGTCAAACGTCTTAAAAAAACATGTCCATGGTAAAATAAGCAGTATTTTTCTAAGTCTCTTTGTCTAAGGCATTTAAGGGACAAAGATGGTGACACTCTGAGGGTGGGGCTCATGGGTCAGAGCATGAAAAACAATACAGAAGAAGACATGGAGGCTTCTGAGTAATTCTCTTTCTTCAAAAGAATCAGCAAATTCATGTTGTATTTGACTGAATCTAAGATAGCAAAACATCTCTCAGCTACTCAGAAGACTGGCTTGTAAGACACATCCTGAGATCAAAGATATTGAAGTGTGGCTGAAGAAGAACTGACCAAATGCAGTAGGTTCCCCAGACAAGGAAAGACCCTCTGGGTAAAACTGCAGTTATCAAGTCTGTGACTTCCTAAATTCAAAGTGGAAACATTTTTGCCTCTGGACCTGGTAGAACTTTCAAAATGATCCACAGCAGTCAGCCAAGATGTGTGAAGCAGGAGGCTGCAGTTTACTGAGGGTTTCCTGGACACCAGGCGCTCTGCTAAGACACTGTTGTCAATTACCTCATGCAGTCTGCCCACAGCTCCAGGAGGCTGATGGTGTCATTGTCCCACTTTACAGTTGATGGAAGTCTAGTTCAGAAAGGAATTTAGCTAAGAATTAGGTGAGGCATCCCTTGAAGGAAAGGCAGAGCTCTTAGCCACTCTCCACCTTACGGATATTTACTGATCACAGTCCGAAGCCCAGAGGAGGGCGTGGTTTGCATGGCATGACCCCCTGTCTTCAGGCTCCCACAGTCTCGCTGCACTGGTGAAGACGGTATGCCTGGAACCAACAAATGACAGAATGGCCTAAAACTAGAAGCTAAATTGCATGAGAAAGACCAAAATACTTCAGAGAAGGTGCTTTCGGGTAACAAAACGAAGTTTCTTAAGAGCTCAGAGGGTTTAAAAAGGACTTTAATAGCCAAAGCAGGAAGGAGAGTCCAGTCCTTGGAGCTAAATGAGTGAAAGTACTCATTTGTCTCGCTGTGATGACATTGAATGGGCTGTTTTAATATTAATGTTTTTGTTTGCAATCACTTTCCTGCCAGCAACATCTAGCCTAGTTATTTTTTAAGCACCATAGGTCCTGTTTCTGCCATACATTCCAAGTGAGACATAAATGTTTTTGTTTAATTTTGTTTGTGGATTTTTTTTTATCCATAGATATGAAATTTTTTCTGTACTTTCCTAAATATGTAGAATATTTAGCAAATTTTCCTCAATTTTAGAATCTTTCTTTTTCTATATACTTGTGAAAGACACAGGATTTCAGAATAACCATTAATTTTGAATTATACAGCTAGACACTTTCCTTGTTAGTTAAGAAGTCAAACATTTCTCTATGAGTACAGCTTCATAATCAGCTTTAGTTTCCAAATTATGGCCAGTTTCTTTTTCAATATTCCCCTTTCCTTACATGCAATCAGTGAATAAAGATTTTAAAATGTGGACAAAGTGATTAATTGCTTTTTTTTTCTTTTTCTTAAGCTGAGCCATGCTGCTACCTGTTGGCAGCTAAGCGGCTGCTCAGCTCGGGCTGGACTTGAACCGCTATTGCTCAGAGCTCAAACTCTTGAGCGTAATTGCTTTTTTTAAAGAAAAGTAAGAAAAATGAAACCTCTTACAATCCTTCCTGTGGGGTAGTACTATTTTATTTGTGGATTGCCACAGTTTCTTCAGTGAATAATGTGATGCAAAGTAATTGTTACAGTCCAAAGACAGTTTGTATTCTCCCTTGTGGGATGTTAAAGAAGATTCAATTATGAATTTAAGTTACTGAGAAGAATTCTACAGGACAGTTAAAGAGTAAGCCAACCGAGTGGCGTGTTGGTTAAGAGCTGGCTTGGGACGCCAGCTCTGAGCAGCAGAGCTCCAGTTCGGATCCC